GCCATAATGCATATCGTGCGCCGCCGCCTTGCAGTGATAAAATCAACTCTTGACCGATCTCTCGCGTGTATTCCACTTTCGCTTTTGCAGATTTTGAACTGTCACGACCTCACTTTGCTCCGTGAACGATTCGAATGTGTTGCGAATTCAGACTTTTTTGTTTTTATATTATGGGATCATGTCTCTTTTGGGCTTGATTAGTCGAGATTCCAAGGTTTGTTTTTCTGGTGCATATTAATTTATGTCCGTAAATTTAATACGCAAAGTCAATCCAGACAAACAAAAACAACTGAACCTAACTAAAGCCCTAAATCTGCTTTAAAAAAAACGTCAGCGCAAACAGGAAGGAAAGAAGATTGGCGTTTTCATTTTGGTTGTTATTTTCCTTTCGTGACATTTAAATATAAATTTGACAAGGTTAATTCGTCTTGATTTTCATTTTAATTATTTTTTATTATTTAAATTTGATGTCGGGCGTTTTAGCAGACATCTGCTAGTTGTAAACCCTTTCTTCTCTTTTCTCCAATTTAAAAATTTTTTGTATTGACCGAGAAGAATAAATAATAATAATAATTAAAAACAATTCATTTTCGTTTTTATTTATTGTCATATAAAATATTTTAAATTTAAACTAATCATCATATTTATAATAACGTACTGCAGAAGAGGTGTGCAGGGCTCCCTTTTGTTTTATTTTCTTTGATTCTTTGAAAGAAGTTTTTTGATAAGAGTCGATTGTTTCTCTAGCCTCTGTGCAAACGCAATCAGAGCAGAAAGCCCTACACAAGCAGAAGGCAAAATGTTTGCGTTGGTGCTCGAGTTTAAAACAGCAGAGCGTTTTGTCCGCGTGAGATTTATTGTGGTGTATTATTTACTTATATCATTAGCCGCGCATCTCTCGTATGCATCCAAGTTCAAGTTTGGCAAGGAGCCCGACAAAATGCTGCTCTAATCGGTGCAACACAAGCAGCTCGGTATTCCGGCCAAGGCGCATTGCACAGCATGATGTACTCGTGCACTATTTTCATATTTGTCCCGCCGCGACGGATGCAATATTTGCTTTAGAACAAAAAGGACCGCACGAGCCAAAAAATTCTCAACAAGCAGCGTTAGAAAATTTGGTTGAAAGAAGAAATACCACTAAATTTTTATATATTATGCAAATAATATAGCAACTTAAAATTCGTATAATGGTGCAAAAACCCCTAATTAATTTCAATTATTTGTTGACCAAAAGGTTATTTATTTAACTGAAAAAAGCCCTGTACAAAAAAAACATTGTTGGCCGTGAAGAGACTTATTAAATATCTTTTTCAATTTATTAATTTTATGTAAGTTGCTGATATAATTAAAAAATGAAAATGAATAAACAATTAACAAAGAATATTTTTTAAGAGGTTAGTATTTTTGAGACATTTTTAAAAATTAATTTCTCAATTAAAAGTCAAAATTTTGGTTTGTATATTCCATTCTCTAAAGCAAAGTGTTTCTCGCACAGTTTCAGTAAATCCACGGAAAAAACCTCTTAAAAAATTAACCCCTGAATCTGCTTTACACTTTACAACACAAACAAAACACTACTCTACACTAATTTGAACAGAAAAAACACACGCACACTAACAATTATCTGAGTAACAAAGAATAGTTTATTTCAGTAAAATTGATTGAATACAAACAAATATTTGGCTGAAATTATTATACTAGCTTATAGAAGTTATTATTTTCAATTTGCGGTCTTTTCTCGCTGGACACCCTGTTTCTTTTTTTAATCACAGAAGTTAAGCAACGCTTGAGTGCAGACAGTACTTAGATGGGTGACCACCCAAGGACCACTGAATCGTTGGATGTATAACCTGCTACTTTAATGTTTCTTGTATAAAGGTGATGCATTTCCTGTCATTAATGTTCTTCAAAAAATAATTCACTTACTGGGTCGATTGTGCAAACTAAGGGGTTTACGGACGCCCCTTGATGCGAACTTAAAGATAAAAATTACTTGATTCCTGCCTCTAATATTCCTTTAAGTATAACTTTTGAGTGCAGTCAGTACTTGGATGGATGCGACCACCCGAGGACCACTTGTCTTTATCTCGCTACTTGCATGTTTCCACCTTCCCTGCATGTGTTCGCAGGGCTAAAATGCCTAACATTTCATTAAAAGTCCTCAGTGGGAAGGCTCTTAGAGCTGAGCTTTGATGCGGCGCCCTGGTCACACTCTTATCTGCTAACCAAGGTTACTGGGACATCGTGTTTCAGCAAATCCTCCTATTTTCCCTTCAGATTCAGGATTATTTTTCCGAACCCTGCGAGCAAGGGAGAAATAATTAAATTCAAAATGAAAAGATCCAGAATTTTTATAATATAACGTAATGGTTCTCAAAACGTTCATTTGAAAAGGGTTAAATTAGCAGCCACAAAAATTCAATTTTTTTATAACTATTTCACGTTCGAGGCTTTATTAAATTTGTGGTGTTGGAAATTAAATTCAGCTTTTCCTACGGGGATTTTTTTTTATTTATCGTCGTTTCATTGCAAAAAAATTTACCGCTCAAAAGTTTCGGCTGCGAGATGAACTGTTAATTATGTTGACATAAAATTATAACACAATAAAATTTTTGTTTATTTAATATTGTTTAAGATATTTACCAATTATTAAAGCAGACACACATGTTTAAAACAACGTGATCTGTCATGTCTGCGCGGTTTTTAAAACCAGTTGGCTCAATTCCGAGTATTGACTCACGAAATTAAACAAAAACTTGAAAATCTCGTTTTATTTTTATTACTTTTAATTAAAAACGAAGAGATTTGAAGCGAAATCTTGATGCTTCCTGCTCGATCGGCGCCATCGTCGGAATCTGTGTCCAATTAATGAGATCGACCGCTGTAGAGTGTTTGTTTTAATTAACCCCAGTGTGCGTGTAATTGACCGTGTTGCAGAAGCAGCAGGTTTTAGCGCGACCGAGGGAGCGCCAGAGGGGAAGCGAGCGGCTCCGACGAGAAAGAAAGAAAGGGTTCGAGCGCGGCAGTAGTAGTTGCTCGGCGAGCCAGCAGCAGACTTGAGGCCGCCCACGCAGTGTCCATGCCAGTGGACAGCAGGACGAACAGGGTCGGCCGAGCACCTCGCAAAAAGTAGTCTACCTTCGCAGCCAGGATGAGTGGCCCACCCTCCGCAGACGAGGGGCGCCATCACCGACCCTCGATCGGCAGCAGACGCGCCAGCAAGGTTGGTCCATTTTTCTATAAATAATTTTTGTTATAATTTCCATCTTATAAATTTTTTAATTCTGTTTGAAAATGTCCTCTAAATTTTAAGGGCTGATAATAGTTTCTGATTAATTATTTCTTCTTTATTATCAATTATGATTATTAAATTTTATTTCATATAGTTTTTTATATTATTATTAATTACAATTTAAATAAATAAATTCAAAACAAGAGACACGTGGCTCCTGCGAGACTATTGCTTCTTGCGTGTATCCCACTTTGATCTGCCTCTCTTCTGAGACCGTGCATTTCATTAACACTTAAAATTAGCAGCAAATTCAGTCAAAGCGTCTCGCCGCACTTTCCTCACAACGATGACGCAAGCCTTTGACAAACGCAAGCTTGAATGGATATGAAAGAATTTTAATTACATATCGTCTCCGAGCAATAAATAATAGCTATAATATGAACACACGTGAGCAGCGATTCAATCAAATCGCATTTATCTGGATTCTTTCGATTAGCGACTGCTAATTAACGGAATTACTCAATAAGTTATTTATAATTATTCTTGTAAATCGATTATTTCAATCGAAATTTCTGAAATATTTGCTTATTTTTCTGCTAGAAAATGATCGGAGCTGTAGCGATATATTTTTTGAAGGTTATAAACGTTTTCTTGAAATTTTGTGTAAAACTTTTGCAGAAAAATATAAGGGTTTGCTGAATAAGCAACTGCTTTGGCTTCAAACTCGGCATTCTCAGCAAAAATTCCAATATAAGACGGAAATTTCCTAATGCAATCGCAATTCCACATTTTTAGCTAAAAGTGTAAAAAATATTAACCAATACTTCCGTTGTTAATTGCGTCATTTCCACGCTCTTCACTTCCTAAAACGCATATCTCACCAACATGAAAGTTGACACTCGGGAAACCAACAAACAATAATTTTTCATTTATTTATTTAGAAGACAATTTGACACGAAATTCCGCCGATCGATATTTGCGTCGAGCGACAGCAGGTCTCGCTCGCAAACATTTTGATCAATAAAACAGCCACGTGTTGGCATGTCTTTGTATAAAAAATGCAAAATAACAACGTTTCTTTATTTACTTCTTTTACGATTCGCCTAATTATTTGCGGTAAAAGCTTTCGCAGACTTTTGCCAACGTAGACAATTCATGCATAATATGAGAGCGCTCTTAAATACACAGACCGAGACAATGGGTTCTTTGTTGCTCGTCACGGCCAAAATGTGTGAGGCTGGAAATCAATATCCGCTTGGTTGAGCCTGAGCCTCTTCCGAAATCGATTCTTATATTCATCCACCTGCACATGTCTATTTTCATTCTTATATACTACACGCAAATAAGAAAGTATACTTTTTAAGATTTTCATATTTTTACCCATCAATTACAGACTCTTAATATATTTGTGAACAATTTTAAATGTACTATATTTTCTAAAATTTTTAATTTGTAATCAATGTAATTTATAATATTGAATGTATGGATGATGTATTTGGGCAGAGAATGCCCAGTGGTACATTAATAAACACAATTTGTAACTATATTTTTATCTATAAAACGCAAATGAGTCCAATTCATTTTCAAACGATTCTTGAACAATGGAAAATTGTTGAAGAAATATTTAAAGTCATATAAATATGAGAAAATTCAAATTATTCATGAATGGGCTCAAAAAGTTGAAAAATTATCACAAATTAAAATATTGAAAAAAAAAGTATGTTTTGTATTTTGTGTGAAAATTGTACTTTATTCTTGTATCGGAGAGCGCATGTTTACATTATTCAAAATCTTCAATCAAAATCAAATTTTTCGTGGTTCCTCTTACAGACCGGATTTCTTACGGTATTCGCCAGTGGGGTCGTATTTCTTCTCCAGGTCATTCCAATATGTAGGATTATTTTCGATCAAGTATTTCATGATTTTATCAATGCTTTCACTTTGCTTTTTGCTGCACTTTGAGCAATCACTCTTCAAGGCGTCGGAGAGGTTATCTGGAAAATTATTAACAAAGTTACATTAAATGAGTAAAAAGATTGGACTTTTTTCCTGGTTTTAAAAATTGTTTTTATTAAAAACGGATCTACCAGTTTCGGTCACGGTCTGCAAAATTTAAAAAGAAATTTTACAAACAAAAATCAGAATGCAATGGGCTCATAATTTTTATTAGTTATATTCATGTATATTTTCAATAAGAAAATAAATGAAATATTATTCCAAAAATAGTATCGTGGCAAAAATTAAAAATTTTAACAGAAATTTACTTTCAATCTGATCTCCAAATTGAAAACAATAAACTATAATTATAATGTAAAATGTTATGAACCTTTAAGATCTTTTCCATCAACGGTGCAACGTCCCCTGTCCATAAAGCAGTTGAAGTAGCTTCTGAGGAGTCTGTCGCTTTTCAAAATCTCGTCGATGTAGACGTTGTCGAGTTTGATGGTGTAAGTTTCCCTCTTTTCCTTCTGGGCGACGGCGACGGTCACGAGAGTGGCGAGCAGTACAAGCTGGAGCTTCATGTTGGAAGTTTCTGATGGTTGGGATGAGCGTCCCGGCCGCTTTTATAGTTGTCCGCCGCTGAAGCTTCATTTGCAAAGGTACGACCAATGAACGCTAAGCCTTGAACTTGTTTGTTGTTGATAATGATATGTTACTTGGCTTACGATACATCTGTGCTAAAAATATCTAAATTTTTATCTCATAAATTTTGGAATATTACTTTATATATGGTAAAGGTCAGGCAAAAGCAAGGTACACATAGTTGCTTATTCTGCGAAGAGAGTGATTTTCTGATTTGTTTATTTATTTTTTGCCGCGGTAAACATTGCAGAGTCACCGCAATCTTTGTTCTACTCGCTCGTTTGCTGTCCTTAATTTAGATCACGATTTTTTTTCTCCATCGTTTTCCGGTGCTAACGCAGATTCGGGCAACTTTTATTCTCGTTGTTGCATATTTTATGCGTGCCCGCAGGAAGTCTCATGCAGCTCGTTGGTGCGCAAATCAAACGTTGGTGCTCTTCTCTGTTGCTATGAATTTGGAAGTGAAACAAGGCACTTAAAAAACTGAACAAAACTTTTATTGGTCTCATGAAACAAGACCTGCCTTGGCGGGCTCGCGAGCGAGAGTCCTCGATCGGTGTCGCTGTCGCTTTTCCAATTTTGCTCGATTATTCTAAAAAATTTAAAGCCAATTGCAGCTATTTTAAATGACTGATTATTAGGAAATTTTTCGTAGCTGTCAGTTTGGGGAGAGTTCGCAGGTCTTCAACGAAGGAACTTGTGTCGATTAAAGCCGGGTTTTTATGTGTTAAAAGAGGGAGAAATTGCTGCGAAAGATTATTTAAAAGGTATGGCCGTAATATTACTTATTCCTTCTATTCCAAAACTTGCGATAAGGGCAATAGCGAGGTTAAAACTTTTCAGGGGGCTTTGTATCAAGGCGAGTTTGGAGATGGCAAAGGGAAGACAAATATGAATATAAACAAAAATAAAAAATAAAAAAATAGCCGAAATCTTTGGTTTTATTGGCATGGAAATTTCTACTTTTGCTAAAATAATTCTGATTTTTCTTCTTCTGGAATTTCCATATCTTATTTTCATTTTTGCAATAACACTTTCATTGATCAATTAATTTTATATGATATTTACTTTATGGTTTTTTTAAAGGCTGCCTTTAGGGTTACGTGTCTTGTATTTGTTTATTTTTTTCCATTTTATTTACAAAATTAAGCCTGCTTAAATTTTTTCATTAACCTCAAAATGTTAATTTCAGGAAACTGACTTTAACTATGATGATAATAATTAAGTACTTTATAGTGAACAAAAGAAAATTTTACTTTTTTGTTCCGCTGCGATTACATAAAAGTGCATTCGTGCGAGTTCAAACAACTCTCCAACCTTGACTCGCCGATTGCGCAAATTGGCACGAAAAATTCCACTTTCTGTGCACCTACCTTGGCCAACGATTAACAAGTGGACCGTTACACAGAACGGCTTTCCGTATATAATTGCGCCTTATGCGCAGATTGGCTTCATTTGGACGAGTGATCAAATCAAAATTTGTCGAGACCACATCACCATTGAAGTTCAAGAAATAATATGAAAGAAAAACTATGATACTTGTTGGTGATTTGGTGTTTTTATCGGTTTACATTAATAATCAAAAGCTTTGGCTATGGATTTCCCTATGTACATGAGATTTATTTGTGTAAATAACGTAAAAAAGGCTTGTCCTTCTAGAAAACGCATTTCATACTGTCTCAAAAATAAAAAAGGTCCTAAATCATTTTTCTCCACGGTCGGCGACCTCTTTCCTTAAGCAAGAACATATAAAAAAATTGGGAAATTCAAAATAAAAACCTTCAGATAATGAAGAAATTAAAATTTTGTTAATTTTTCTTATTTTTAAAGATACAGAATTTAAAAAAAAACATTAACGGCAATGATGAATAAAAATTGTGATAATTCACACAAATTTGCTTGAATCCCTTTGCTTTACAATCAATGAAACATTTTTATTTTTAGTTATATTCTCCGAAATCTTCATCATTTCAACAGGTGGATACCAAAGCAAACGTTCGACTCTGCCGCCGAGCTAGACTTACAAAATATATCGTTTGTTTACAAGACGTGAACATGAGATAACCTTTCCTTTCGGGAAAACGTGTATCTCTCTTTTTTATTTCGACTCGCAACCTTGTTAGAGCCGCCGAAACACTAATTCAACATTTTCCTCGCAAATATAAAAAGGGACGCACCTCGTTAGCGCTAATAATCATGTTTCAAATCATGTTTTTTTTTTCTTTTTAATAATCTAAGTAGCTCCCGTTTCTCACATGTTTTATCCGCCGGCAGTTTGTTGGTATCATCTGGCTGAGCTCTAATTGAAATATTTTTTTGTGCACGTGTTTCTGCGTCATAAACGAGATCAATTGCTTATTGACTCTTGTGCGTGGGATTGTTTGGCGTTTGCACTTTGGCCTGAATTGACGATAAATTTGCGAAAAGTAAGAGTTGGTTGTTCGCGCGGCCTACTTTCTCACATCTCATTGTCAGTGTAGGTGAAAAAGTCATGTTTTATTCAAACACGCAAATTTATTTCCCTTTATTTTTCAATCAAAACCACAAAAAGTTTTTGCTTTGCTTATTAATTAATATCATTTGAGATCATTTTGGTTGCTAATACACTTAATTCTTTTATTTTGCATACATTTTTTTTTAATTCCATGTTAAGAAAATGTGAAAGAATTGGACAATTTGAACAGCAGCAATAATTTGTCACAGCAAGGATAATGTAAAAAATTTATTAGAAAAATATTTGAAAAAAAAAAAATATTCATTAATATTATAAATAATTACATTTGATATTGATGCACTACTTATTCTTTACAAATCAAGATATTGAAAAGAGAAAATATGCGGGGAAATTTTACCGCTGGCATGTGTCGCGCGAAGATGGGCCGAAACTAATCGGTTACAAAACATTATCACAATAATTATCTGAAAGTGAAAAAAATTATTTAGCATTAATTAAATCAATAAAATGCCAAATTTTATTGTTATTCTTAATTATCAACTAAACCAGATCATTAAAAAAAATTAAAATGAAAGCTTTTAGCAAGAACTGTTGGCTTTGCTTTTGGCAATGGCACAACAAAGCTGTCCATATCAAAATCCAGGGGCCTACCTAATGAGGACTATGATTGGTTAAATTGTTGCTGATCTTGGTAGCGAGCAATTTTAGCAGTGCTTGTACTCCAGTAAAGAGTAAGAACCTGCACACCATTGAAAACCAGAATAGTTAGCAAATCTGGAGAGAGAGAGAAAAAAAACACATTTTTTGGGCCTTACATTGCAATTAATGCAGCGAATTTCAACAAGTGAAATGTGGAGCTATTTTTTGAAATATTTTGAAAAACGAATTTAATTCAACTAGAAAAATCTTCAGTTTTATTGAAGGTTTTAGTTTTAGCTCTATATGCAAATAAATGCATTTACACTTTAAAATAAGAAAAATGACATTAATAAAAATGAAATAAAAATTAGATTACTTTAAATTTACTATAAAACGGAACGATTTAATCTTATGAGCGTGCACTTAACAAAATTCTTTCAAATAAAAGCAGCAATTCAACGGTGCATCGCACTTTGGGAGTGGGAGAAGCAGAACCTCAGAAAGCTTTGTTTTTATCCCAACACTTACTTCCATGACCTAGAGCAAATAATCGAATTAAGCTCTCGCGAGCAACAAAAGTGTTTTTACAGAGGGTCGTTGCGAAGCGATCGATTTTCAATTTTCCTCTCTCAAAACAAACTCATTATATTATGGACGGACAAATTCTCGGATATATATTTGGAAGACTGCACTGCATTTATTGTATTATTCAAATGGGAAAGTGAGAGATAAGCGCGGGGTGTTTAGTGTAGCGCAGCTTTGCGACTTGTGACACACATATATCATTTCATTGCTATCGACCGGGGGGCGGTGGAGCTTCTCTGCAAATGAGACGCGGATAAATGCAGTGTTCTCGCTGGTAGTCGAGCCGAGGACCTCGAGGTATGCGGGTGGTGGCCGCCGCTCCTTCCGCCGACGTCCAACCTGGCGATGGCACCCGCGCGGCGGACAAGTCGCGAGTCAGGAGGTTCCTCGCGTGGATTTCGCAATCGTTTCGCGCCAACGACCCTTCCAAGGTCTGCCAATTCATCAAAATATTGCAATTTCTGGTTTCAAATTCAAATCATTCTTAATAGTTTTTGGCAATTATCAATTTAAAATTAAATTATATTTAAAAAGTTAGAAGGAGATACTTGATTTTTTCTACTTTTCTTATTCACTGAATTTTATATTCGTCAAAATTAAAAAACAAGAACTTCTGGTCAATCTGTTAGATTTTTTTTTTAAAAATATGCGTATTTTCATGGTGAAAATTTTAATATTTAGAATTATTAACACTTATTTTTAGACAATTTTAATTGCTAAAAACAAAAATTATTTCTGCGATGAATAATATTTTGCACAATCTGACATTCGTAATTTGTTCAAGAACAAGGAAATGCAAATCTTCGTGATAAAAAACACGAGGCGAACGTTTCGCAACAGATAATTGGATTTCAATAACGTGCTGTGACGATTGTACAATTCCGATAATTATTTAACCTGCATTGAAATTAATGCCATGATTTGATGCAAAATAAATAATTCAAAGAGAGTAATCATATTGCATCGAGTACACATATCGATCGAAATCTCAAACAGGCCCGTCTTTTGCAAACAATAAGCGAGCGACCTACTGAGCTCCACGTGCAAGTGAGTGCATTTTTTGCTAAGCACCAAATCGATTAATTTTTACACAAATTTCTGTGTTTCGTAGAGCAGAATTAATTAATTTGGTGCTCATAAAAAGACTGCTTTGATCGTAACCCTGAGGCAATGCACACAAAGAGCGCGTGTATTAATTAAAGCCTCTTTGCCAGACAAAATGCACTTCGAGGACGCGAGCATGCACATCCGCCTAATGATCACATTTCGTAACCGTAGGAGATAATTAAAATCATCATATGAAGCCGCGGATTAAGTTGAATCATCACAGATTTATTGCTCTCTTAATCTGGCTTCTTATCATTTTGCGGAAAAAAAAATTAATGTGTGTTTGTCAAAAAGCTGACGTCGACACTTCTTGGTGGAAACCACCGTTTGAGATAAGACTTTTCTCGATCGTGGCGTGCACTCAAGCACATGGTCTTATTGAGATAGACTCGTTCATTCAAAGCACATGTCTCAAAAGAAGCGCGTCCGATTCGGCAGATCTGTATCTGTATTTTTGCGTAACCATTTCTCGAGAAGGAGAATAATTTTGCGAAAATTTTGCAGGAGAGCCACCATGGAGTGGAAGCAGGTTCTGACCTGGACGAGGAGATGGAGAAGGTGTTTGCCATGGGCAGCAGTGAGATGAAATTCGACGTGTCCCGGTTGTCGACGTCACCGGGCGACAATCCTCAGGACAGGAGGAAATTTGACGAGAGAGATTACAGTCGTAAGTTTATACAAACATTCATTATTGCAGAGATAGCTGCAATGATATTTATTATTTAATCATTTTGACTAACATTGGTGAATTTTTATTTAAATTATTTTTCATTTAAACAATTTAAATAATTCAGCGCCCATTTAATTTTTTTATTAATTTTGTTTAACTGACCGACTTAATTTTTAGAGCACCGGAAAAAGAGCTACCCACACACCCATGCTCCTTTGAAGTCCATACACTCAAGGTCGATGCGGCGTCGCCTCACTTCACCGCGTCTTTCCGAGAGTGAAGCAGCAGACTTGGCCGCATCGGTCCTTGCTGAGGTACACTTACTTAATTAAGAGACTATAGAACAAAATTGAGCAAAAAATTTTAGCATGAAGATGCCGAGACGAGAGGCTCCCAAGAACGCGAGAGTTTCGACTCAACGGAAGATCCAAAAGAGTAAAAATTCCAAATTCATTTCTTGTTTTCTTTACATCGATTTTTAAATCAGGATGGCAGAGGACAGGGGTGGTTCATCAGCCCCCATTCCCGTGCCTTTGTCCGGCCTGTCCGAAGATGAGCCTCAGGTGTCGGAAATGGCCGCCTCGTACAGGAGCAAAGATTTTGACGAGGACAACACCAGGCGAGTGCAGTTCCAAATCGGAGGAGCTGGAGATGGTCGAAAGGGTGACAGCGACCGCGAGGAAGACACACCGCCCAAGGACAGCAAGGAAAGTTCTCCTTTCAAACACGACGGCTCCGAAAAGAGCAAACGAAGGAAATACAGGTAATATTTTTATAAATATTACTACATAAAAATTAAAATTTTAATGAAATAAATTATTAGCAAGTAAATTAATGAAATTTTAATTTTCAGCAAACACAAAATTAGGAAGTACAGTTTGCAAGAAGACCCTCAGTGGAGGGTAAGGGCTGGATCCGAGGCGCCCTCTGATAATTCGGTCAGACCTTCTCTCGATGGGGAAGAGGAATCCACTTTGAAGGAGGTGGACAAGGACGACTTGGCAAGTCAGTGAAACAGAGTTATGCAACCTGCGCGACTCGGTCGCTCCGCTGGTTGCATTTTAAATGTTTACAGGCGCTACATTGTTTCTCTCTTCTTGTGCAGGTCACAGGTTTGATGATGCCAAAGGGATGCGGCGATACAAAACTTCAAAGTCGTCGGCCGGAGGAATGCCTGGCGACACGATGGTCAGCATCAGCCGTAGGGAGGGCAGCGTGGTGCCGCCTGGAGTCGGATGGACTCCGAGTGGGGCCAAGAAGAGTTTTGACCACAGTCCTCATGCCGTGAGTAATTTTATATTAAAATTATATACATTTTTAGCATTTTTACTAATTTTTTATTTTAAACTTCAGGTTTTCGTGCAACTGGATGAGTTGGCGGGCAAAGGAGAGGATCAAGAGTGGAAGGAAACTGCTCGCTGGATCAAGTACGAAGAAGACAGGTTGGAGGGTGCGGATCGGTGGGGCAGACCCCACGTCGCCTCCCTCAGCTTCCACTCTTTGCTGAACTTGCGCCGCTGCTTGGAAACCGGCGTCATCCTGCTCGATTTGGAGGAAAAAGATCTTCCGGGAGTCGCCTTCAGGATTGTGGAACAAATGGCCTTGGAGGAGTTGGTCGAAGTGGACTCCAAGGCTGCTGTGATGAGGGCACTGTTGCTGAGACACAGACCTGTGACCCATCACCACGATCGCTTCCGATTCGGAGTGGTCAAGAGAAATGCGTCGAGCTACACCAGTCTCCAGGTAAAATGGATCAAAGTTTATAAAAAAAAAACTAATTTTAAGGGAAAAATATATTAAACAAGCCACAAATTTTGAGAACTCGTTTCTTGTTCTGTGCATAGAATTATTTCCTTTCGGATGATGCCGATTACGAGGAAAGATTGAAACGAGAGGAATTTCTGAGGAGATACAGCTGTGTAAAATCTACCTTAGTTTCAGTGTGTGTCCCCTTTTATATTAATCCTCTTTTGCTGCCCAACTAGCTGCTTGGATTTGGAGTCCCTTCAAACCTTACCCCATCTAATTTTGTTGATTTGACGTTTTTAGAAATTATACATTGCTAGATCTATAGTTTTGTCAACATTTTTTCGCCAGGTTTTAGCATGCTGTATGCAAAATTTGCTCTTTGGTTTTATTTAAATAATAAAAATCCCACAAAGAAATTAAAGTTTGTGTGAAATTCACAGAATTTGGCTGAAGACAAGACTAAACCACGAATTGTGCCTTCGATGACGAGTGTTGACGGCCTCTCATTGGCCAAACTTATGGGATCGTACACGTCCAGCAAACAGACCAGCCTGGACAAAATGCATGCGAGTGACAGCAACCATACAGTGGTAAGTTTATGAAAAATAAAATTAATCACAATTTTTTAGTAATTTTTTTCAGGTTGACGTCGGCAAAGAGGAAACAACTTACTCCTCTTCGACGGAGGACTTGAAGAGGGCCCACAATGAGAGTATTTTAAAAAGGATTCCTGAAGGAGCCGAAGCCACCACAGTATTAGTCGGTTCCGTGGAATTCCTGGAGCAGCCCACCATTGCGTTTGTGCGCCTTGCCGAAGGTGTTCTGATGCCCTCCATCACTGAAGCGCCCATTCCGGTGCGCTTCATGTTCATTCTTTTGGGTCCGCGCGTCACTGACCTGGACTACCATGAAATCGGTCGATCAATTTCAACCCTCATGTCAAACACAGTAAGAAATATATTATTATTTTTAAATAAATTTTTATTAATTTAACTTCAGCACTTCCACAATATTGCCTACAAAGCTGCAGATAGAAGGGAAATTTTGTCTGCCATCAATGAGTTCTTGGACGACAGTATTGTGCTGCCTCCTGGCAATTACGAACGCCAAGGTCTTCTTCCTTTCAACGATTTGAAAGACAAAAGTGAGGCTATTCGCAGGAGAAAATCAACTCGAGATCCTCCAGACGAAGCGCAAAGAGGTTTGAATTGAACACAATTTAAAAATAAATATTATTCAGCAATTTATTTCAGCACTTCTTTTGGAAGATGCGAAAAGACCACCTGATGACAACCCCCTCGTCAGGACCAGACGACCCTTCGGTGGCCTCATCAAAGACATCAAGAGGCGCTGGCCCAAATACAAATCGGACATCACAGATGGATTGAATTTTCAGTGCTTGGCAGCTTCCATTTTCATCTACTTTGCTTGTCTTTCTGGCGCAATCACTTTTGGAGGTCTTATGGGTATAAAAATTAGTTTTTATATTTAATTTATTTTTGATTAATATGACTTTAAATTTCAGGTGATAAGACCAACAATCAAATTGGCATATCTGAAACTCTGGTATCAACTTGCCTAGCAGGCGTTTTGTTTGCTCTTTTCTCTGGACAGCCTCTAGTGATAGTTGGAACTACCGGCCCACTGCTATTATTTGATGAATCTCTGTTTGCGGTAATTATTTGTTTAATTACTTTTAAATCCAAAATATAAATTATGAGTTTATTTAGTTTTGTGAGGAGTACGGCTACGAATTTCTCTCTATGAGAGTATGGATAGGCGCCTGGCTTGTGATCATCGGGCTAATAGTGGTCTGCGTGGAAGGTTCGGTGCTTGTGAAGAGGTTTACCAGATTCACCGAAGAGATATTTGCATCTTTGATATCTTTGCTCTACATTTATGAGAGTCTGGTGAAACTGTACCAAGTGTTTAAACAGCACCCCTTATCACCCGAATACTGCAACATCCAACCAGCGGCGCTCTCCAACACCCTGTTAAATAGCTCCATCAACACGCTCGACGAATCTTACTCGCTGGTGCTTGAAAACGTGTCCACCGCATTGATGGATGTGTAAGTTAATTTTATACTGACATCTCTTTATTAAAAAAAAAAAAAAAAATTAGAAATGTCTGCACTTAATTTAGATTAAAATTTACATTAAATTAGCCTATTTTTGCCATGGAAATTAAGTTATATTGTTATTGGTTTTGTTTCATAAAATATATATCACTTTAAGTTATTATTATTATTTTTTTTTAATTTAAATCCGTCAGAATTAAAGCATTTCTATTTAGTTTAAGATAAAATTATGATGATAATGATAATAGTGAAAAATGAAAAAATTGCAAGTTTTTTGCTTAAAATTCTCTAATTTCTATCCATAGGATGAACACGACAGTAGGTCCGACCACACTGCCCGAGTCTTCAATCAAGAGAAACCAACCGAACACAGCTCTCCTTTGTGTCATTTTGGCACTTGGGACGTTCTTCATTGCTTATTATCTGAGGCAATTTCGAAACAGCAAATTTTTAGGACGCAGTGTAGGTTTTGCAATTAACTCACAGCCCAATTCTCTTATGCAAACTTAAATTGAACAGGCTCGGCGCGCCTTGGGCGACTTTGGAGTGCCCATAGCAATCATCGTAATGGTCTTGTTAGACTACGTCATTCCGGACACCTACACAGACAAACTCAGGGTGCCCGAGGGTTTGTCTCCCTCCAGCCCGGGCGAGCGAGGCTGGATAATCAACCCCGGAGGAAACAATCAACCGCTTGAGATTTGGCTCGCCGTTGCCTGTGTTGTTCCAGCCATGCTGGTGTACATTCTCCTGTTCATGGAAACACACATTTGCGAGTGAGTAAAGCAAAAATATTAAATTAAAAAAGTTAAAAAAAAAAAAAATATTTAGATTGATCATCGACAAGAAAGAGAGAAAACTGAAGAAAGGCTCTGGCTTCCATTTAGATATAGTTTTGGTTTGCATGCTGAACATGGGTTGTGGCTTGATGGGAGCTCCGTGGGTTTGCGCCGCCACTGTGCGGTCAGTGGCACACGTTTCTGCACTGACAGTGATGTCAAGGGACCACGCTCCTGGTGATAAGCCTCACATTATTGAGGTTAAGGGTATGTCAAATTCACAATATTTTTTTTATTAATTTAAAAAAAATAATAGAAAGTTACAAAAATAATTTGAAATAATATTACCTTCTTTTATTTAATATCATTGATTTTTTTTTTAAATTTAGAACAAAGATTAACTTCCCTGGTTGTGAGCATTCTTGTTGGAATTTCTGTGGCCATGGCACCCTTTTTGCGCCTTGTGCCCATAGCAGTTCTGTTCGGAGTCTTCCTTTACATGGGTATTTCGTCGATGGACGGAATTCAGTTCTTTGAACGAGTTCAACTTTTCCTCATGCCTGTCAAGCACCATCCTCAAGTACCATATGTTAGAAGGGTAAGAAATTCTTCTCAACTTTAAATTTTTTTCAAGCTAATAATAAATTAAAATGTTGCAGGTGAAGACGGTAAAAATGCACCTTTTCACAATCATCCAAGGCGCCTGCCTTGCAATCTTGTGGGTAGTGAAATCGACAGCAGCTTCACTTGCATTTCCCTTCTTCCTGATTTTGATGGTGCCACTGAGGACAAGTTTGCAGCACATTTTCAGCCCCACAGAATTACGCGCAGTAAGGAAAAGAAATAGATTTCTTATTTTCATCTTAATTCCTTTTTTTTTGTGTAGCTTGATGGAGTTGAAATCGAGAAAGAGGATGAGCCTGATTTCTACGCTCAAGCACATTTGCCAGGCTGAAAATTTTTAAGGTTAGGGAGATTTAGTTGCTGAAATCACACCAAGTGCTAATTATAGTTAGTATTCTGTGAAACAATTTTATCAGTTGTTATAATTTTACTTAAAATATTTTAGCGAATTGAATACTCAACAATTTAGAGGCTAAACAGAGCAAAATGTATTTGATAATGTACCTGACACGAATTTGAATAAATGGTGTTTAATTTTGAGATGTGGATTAAATAAAACTTATTCCAAATATAATAGTTGCTTGCTTATTATTCAAAAGAAATTATTAAGCTAGGTTGTGCTAAAGTTAATTTTTGAAAAAGTATTTAATAATCTTTTATGGTAAATAATTGAAAATCAGACTCAAATTAAAATTAGAGCGTTCAGCAAATTTTCAAACAATGTATTGTTTGCTTTTCTCTCTAATCCTGGCGTGGAAAAAAGTAAGGCTGTGTGATATAGAATTGCAAATTCCTTGTGTAGATGTCCTACGCAGGCAGAATTGATTTGAGCACCGGTGCAAAAGCTTGGGTAAATTCTTTGCATGCTTCTTGAGTGTTTACTGTAAGGTTCGTCAAAACGTATGTTGAGTTAAAAGGATGAAAAACAAAATTAGTTACAAAATCGGACTCTGCGGGAGGCCCCCCAAATTCTACATTTTGACCCCTGAAGATGTTCCTCTGGGACTGTGAGTTTTGTTGTTGTTAAAAGAATGTTTTGCTATTCAATCTTGGAATTTCACACAGAAAGTACATGTATGGACCAAACAGAACCTTTCGTACGCGATTCATCGAGGACAACAGTATTAGGCGGCAATTGTTTTTTGAAGAGGTTTAAATTATATTTCTATATTGGGAATATTTATTAAGTAATTTGACACTTAGGATGGGGCTGAGAGTCAAATTTTGGATACTCCACTGCGAACTTCAATAATTGATTTCGACTGCAACAAGTCCGGCAAAGAAATCTCTCTCGGTAAAGGAGGTTTTGGTTCTGTGTTTCTCAGCATTCTGAATGGTAAAGTTTTTTGATTAATTAATATAATTCAGCCTCATGCATCCTTTTATTTTAGATGAATTGGTAGCGTGCAAGAAAATCAAGCTGAACAGCAGATCGAACATCGCTTCTCTTGCAAGAGAGCGAAATGGGTTGGGTCTTTGCCACCCGAACTTGATTCAAGTCTTTGCCACTTACGCCGGTTTAAAAGCCGGCCTGGTGGTCATGGAAAAGGCCAGCAGCACGAATCTGCAGGAAATTCTCACCAAGTCAAAAATCAGATCAGACAGAACCAAAATCAGGTGAGAACAGAAAATTTCCATTTTTTTTTTTTATCAAAATAATTTTCCTCTGCAGATACACAAGACAGATTTGTCTGGGCCTGCAATATTTGCACAGCAATGGTATTTTGCATCTGGACGTGAAGCCCCAAAATGTGTTGGTAAATCTTGGAAGCAACTGCATAAAACTGGCTGATTTCGGAAACTCCGCCCTGATTGATGGCCTCGGATCATTCATTAGCTTGGTTAATTGACGATTGATTATTTTTTACTTATTTAAATTGCAGTAGAGAAATAAATACAGACTCACTTGGATAATTTTTAAGGGCACCATACGTTACTCGCCACCAGAGTTTTTCACCAAGGATCCTGTGACAACCAAATCGGACGTGTTCTCCGTTGGAATCACAATGTGGCAGTTGCTGTTCAACAAAATTCCTTATGATGATGGTGAGACCAACTCAGCTCTACTTTATCAGGTTCATAATTATTTTACCTAAATTCAACAAGTTTATTAGTTTTAATTTTCTTGATTAGATCGTCAAGCGTAATCTTCGTCCAAAGCCGCATGATCACCCCTTTTCACCGCAGTTGAGAGGCATGCGAATTTATCAAGAGACCTACAAGCGCTGTTGGGAAGCTCATCAAGATCGTCGGCCATTCATAAATATCATTCTTCAAAATTTGGACCTTTCTGAGGAAGAAGTGGGACGAAACGGAGAATGGGTTGAAAGGCTTTATGAGCAATAATGAAGAAATGCTTGAAAATTTAAATTCTCAAAGATATATTTTTAAATGATTATTTTGAGCAAATTTTAAAACTGAAATCTGATATTTTGTAAAATTAAATGGTTATAGAAGTCATATTTGATTTAGAATTGAATTCAAAGATTTTTCCTATGGCAGAATTATTTTATTACAACCAAAAGAGAACAGTAGAAAAAAACTTACACAATTAGTTGGAGGAAAGAGTGTTCAAATTCTTCACGAGTCTGGCATTTCTCCTCCGGGAACAAGCTGGAATTAACATATTTAAATTAGACTTGTATGTAAATTTAACACTCAATTGTGATTTTTACCATAGTTATATTATTTCCGTTCAGCAAAATCTGGTCCAGCCGTGTGATTCTGCGTCCCTCAGGTGTTGATTCGTACTCGGTGACATCTTCCAGCATCATGTTCACGAAATCGTCGAATCCTAAGAGGGTGCCGACGATTTCCTTGTCATTCTTCATGATGATGTGTATCCGAGAGCCAATGCATTTGTCCACCAGCTCTGAAATTATGAAAGGAACGAGTTAATCAAAAATTTCAAGGCTGTATCTAAAAATTTAAATTTTATAAAACATCTTTCTGAATGAAATAAATGTACCGACATAATATCACTAAAGATCAGCCGGCATTAATTTTTGCCAAACAAGAATAACATTTCAGAACAAAAATTACGTGTTAATCAGTCAGAAAATTATACAAACAGAACAAGCAAATGTGAGGGCGTACAAAGCACCCTTCTAGGGGTGTCGGACCTACCCAGGGGAAGCAGGGTGGAAGGATTTGTGGTGGTCGAAGGAGCCGCGCTCGCCATTGTTTGCAGTTTTTCTCTGGGAATAAACAAACATGGCCGCCGTGCGAGTCGGGCGCGGAACGACCGTGGTACGCGGAACGGACCAATGGGCGCTCGGAGGTGGCGCGCGGATCGGCACCGCAGCGGCGCCACCTAAGCGGCATCTCGAACGCGAAACGGGGACGGCGAATCAGTTTTGAGGAATATGGACAAGTGAAAGGATGGTGGCAGTGAATTATTAGTGCCGATCGCCCGCTTTTATGACTGCAACTGTGACTTTCGGCAGCGATTTCCCATTTCCCGAGCGCAGCACCGACCCGCGGACGCCGCAGGCACCCCTTCCAGGTGAGAAAAGAGCCGCCGCCGTCCACTCGGGGGTGCCACCCGCCACTGTTTGTTGTGTTTACATCGTAATCTGCACCCCCGACTGCATTAGTCGACTCATGGGTGCGGACCGACGCGGACCGGACGGATTTTTAGTAATTCCAAAAAAAAAGTGATCGAAACTCCAATATTAAAATAAAAAAATTGACGTAAAATTTACATTAAAAGAGACGCCGATCTGCTCGATCTTAATTAAAAGGGGAGGAAGGGGTGGGTGGGTGAACGTATTCAGCTGCAGTGTTTTACGACTCGAGGAGGGTGGTGGGTGGTGATTCATGCCCGATTTATCAAGGGAGTGTAAAATGATTGCGAAAATATAATGCCCAGGGGATTGTTTGCATGGATGAAGTTTTGAATTTTGAATAGGATAATTAACGAAATCAATGTTTGTCTCTAGTTCAAGGCCAAATTAAAATCGATTTGGTCGAGGGTGAGACCATCATCAGAACTCCAATATAAAAAAATTGCGAGGAGGACGAGTGCAAATATTTGAGGCGCTGACTCGCTGGTTTTCCCGTAAGAGCAAAAAAGTTGTATCAACAAAAAAGAGCCGAAGAACAAAATTGCAAATTTTGAAGTGAGATTATTTAGTAAATTTAGGAAGGTTTTAAGAATGAAAGTCAATAACGAGCAATATTAAATTAAAAAAATATTGAAATGTTCGAAAGGACAATTAAAGCCCAATTTTTCTGGTCCTCAGCTATCTTTTATTTACATTTTTTAAATTTTGAAGACGAGAGATTATTAATAAAAAAATTATGGGGGAAACACATGTTTTAATTAAAAAACTTTATGCTCCGTAAAACAAGATTCTGCGGAAGTTAACACTTTGCTCGTCAAAAAGTTTGGTACTCGAGCTTGTCAGATGAGCAAATTTTGGCCAACCCCGTCGGCAACTCCGCATTACAAACTCGCAAGGACTTTCATACATATTTTAATTCGTGTTGCAGGAGTTGTTTTGCAATTTTCTTCTTGCGTCGGCCAATTACAAGCCGCGCTCCAATTTTTTAACCGATTCGCCCACGCGGCTTTTCGAGACGTCGCCTTCTTTGGCCACACGACCTATCTCAACGTGAAAAGTGCTCCGATTGCCTTTTAATCGGAATCGCGCCTCTTCAGATAAGACGCAGATAATTGCGGCTTCCGCCGCTCTTCCTCAAAGAAAGCGTCTAATTTATGATTTTTATGGCTGGTTGAAATTTAAATTGAGTGATGCAATTTTTAATGGATTAAAATTCTTACAGTTCCGTAATAACTGCCGCATTTTTCATTATTTTGCAATTTGCCATTTTTTGCGTTGCAAGGCATTGGAATGAGCAAGTAAATTAAATCTCTGGAATAAAAAGAAGCAAATTTCCAGCCTGAATTTTCTTTGTATTCATAAAAATTTGAAATTTTGACTGTTTATATTCTTCTTTGATGAGGATTTTTATGAAAATTAAATAATTTCATTACAATTTTTATTTTTCAGTGGACTTAAACATAATAATACCCGATAATACCCTAAATTTGCTAAAAATTTTATTAATCTGTTAATTCATTATAGTTATTTTCCAAATTGTTATAGATTTGGTGTTAAATTTAAATGAAAACTTCAAACTTTGTCCCTCTTTTGTAAGACGCGTAGATTTTCTTTTCGAATTGTTTTCCTCGCAGACTCCGAAGCTGCTCTGCAAAGCTCGCGTGCGCCTCTCGCAGATCGTTAATCAGAGGCAGATGTTCTCTGCGGTCCATTCCGCGGCAGCTGCAGCGGCCACCTGACCACGTGCCACCCCCGGCACAGGTCCCTGTCGGTGCCAAATCACGATACGCGGCGGCCTTGCAGCGAAATTTTTTTACACGTTCACATCCGCCGCCGCTTTATTTCCTCTTGTCAAATATTGGTTTTTGCTTCAGAAATTCCGCAAATATCGAAAACCGATTGATGGAAAAAGTCCCCTCTTTTCATAAAGATATATATTTCAGTCGACACGTTGTTATCAATGCATAAATCACACAATCCTCCGCCGGGCCTTTTAAACCTTTCAAGAGCGAAAAGTGCGAAACCTTTTGCGGCGGCGCTCGCATAAATCTGGTCGTAGAGCGACGACGACACCTTTCAGCCGTTCGCAGAGATATTTTTCTTTTCGACTTGGAGAAAAAAATGTCTTGAGAAACAAGAGAAAATCATAAATCACTTTGGCTGCAGGAAATAAAACACGAACTCTGATTAAAATGATGTATAAAATTGAATATAAGAAGAAAAAAATTAAACTCTTATTGCAGTTTATTTGTACATTAAATAAAAATAAAATACTTCTTCCCGTTCGAACTGTACTGAAAAATACACAAAATTAAATTATATTTAATTGAAAAAAATGCAATTTTAATTAAAAAATTATTTTTAAATTAGAACTTTTAGTCCCATAGCAAATTGTTTTGAGCTAATCGTTTTTTATTGGAAATTCTGCCATTTTTTTCATTTTAATAAAACTGGAGATTTATTATTATCTTACTAATTATTTTCCGTAAATATTTAAATTAGATCTAGTTAGTAATTATTATCAATTCAAGAAATTGATTCTAACCGTTAAAATTTTACCCTCACATGAGCACGCTTTTTTCAACAATAATCCATTGGAATTCCGCTGGAAATTATCCGAAGGCAGCACTTACTGTTTTTTGCCTGTGTGAAATTTTCCCTTTACAACGGACATGCTTTGTTATTGAAATCTTATAATTCACACACCGGCATGTACCACAGCACTCTGGAGGCGAAAATAACAGTAATGAGGCGTGACTTTTGAGCGCCTTGGAACAATCATGCTCGCTTATTTGCGAGTGAAAAGAAAAGTGGAAGCGACCGACGGACGCTATTGGCCTAGTTTCGGAAACAATCATTGCCGCCCTTGGTTGTCTGCTCGGAAAAAATAATAGTGGATTTTATTACGCGGCTGACAAGAAAAGTTCCGAGAGCTAATCTGCTCGTTTGCACGGCTTCGGCTCGCCGAAGGAAAGAAATAGCACGTGAAATAAAATGTGACGATGACACGCTCTCCGTGTTTTTCCTTAATTGTATTTTCTTCTGCAGAGACGCACTCGTAAAAGGAGAGGAGCAAATTCCGCCTTTATTAAATATGCGGATCGCGCAGGGATGCTCTGCAAAGACGGAGCCCGCAGGCCCGGCAAAAGCGAATTTTATATTGTCGTGCGTAATATGCTGGCGAAAGTTGGAGAGCTGCTGAAAATTTCATCGGGATTTGCATCTCATGTTTATCCTATTACCGGGAATTACATCAGTCTGTCGTAATTCCACTCACCGTGGAAGTTCAGATTGGATAACATCAGAGTCAATAGAAAAGAAAAAACTATCAACTCTTGATTCCGCAAATAAACTCATAAAAAATCGATCCGAGAGATTTATTTCTGCAGTCTCATAATATGAGGTAATTAATAAAAGGCAATTATTTATCTGGAGTAATCGATAAAAAAATAATAATTATAATTTAATTTACGATGACTAATATATTGTTTCAAATCTTACCAAATAATCTAAATGATAATTAATTAAGAAATATGAAATCATTTGGTTTGAATTTGTTTATAAATTTTAATTGATATTCAAAAGGACATAAAAGAAAATATTAATTTCATAGTTTTAATTCGCAAAATTACTTTTTTTAATAGCCTAAAAATAATATTGAAATCTTAACCCTTTAAAAAGAAATTCCAAATTATATGCAAACAAGTTTGATAGTGAATTATTATTGTTGTTTAGTTTTCCTCTGTTTTTTTATTAAAATTGTTTATATAAAAAAAAACGATTTGAATTAATTATTAATTAAAATAAACGGTAAATTCAGTATCATGTTTTTCAATAAAAATCATTTTTACGGAATTTTTGAAGTCATTCGTTCTTACACAAACTCGTTTTTCTGCCCCGCTTTAGATTATACAAGATTGACTTTGTGGACTTTTGATTGATAGCCCCTCGGCTAGAAAAGTATGTGCATGACCGGCAAACGCAATCTCTCAGTCCCTGAAGACCAGAGTGAATATTGATCGGCGAATTATTAATTAAGCGACGGTTAATTTTCCCGTCGGGTGCCGCGACCAGAATTTCGCCATTCATCACCCGCCCGCCCGCAAAACCAAAAGAAAGATGTGCCGTCGTGAAAATAAATATCTCACCGGAATCTCGGGAGAGAAACAATCTCAAATCGACGCTGACAAAAAGTAATGGCGCATTTTTATTCGTGCAGGCTTGTGACGTCAGGAAAATTGTATACGAGAAGAACGAAAGAAAGGAAAAGAAAGAGTTTGTGTATGTGGCGTGCGGGGAAATGAAAAGAGTTAAAACCGTCGAGAATTCAAGCGCCGCGAGTTTCTAAAGCTGTTTTGATGCGATAATCAAGCTGAAAATCCAACGGTGAGAAGCGCTGATTCATACAAAAGTTTGAGGAAACACTGCTTTTTGAAGTTTATACGGCGTCTTTGAAATGGGATATTTTCCAAAGCAAGATTTTTTTTAGAATTTTAAAATGATTGAATGTCTATTTAAATTTAATTTTGAGGACCTAAAATGTTAATATTTTTGAACTAACCTAAATGTATTTTTTTGTAATAGTGGAAATTTCAGAATGAAAACCAAATAAATTTTTATTAAAGCTAAAAATTTATAAGAAATAATAAATAATTATTAAAATCATTCATTGATCCACTATGACTGATCTTATTGTTAATAAATTCTTTAAATGTTGAATAAATATTTTTTTTTTATTCGGAAATTTTTAAATTTGTGAAAATAAAAAAAGAAAATTTTGTCTTATCATTTTTTCACTTTTCTGTATTAAAGTAACTCTTCATTCAACTGTCTTTTTTTGGAAATTATTTTAAAAAACTCCAGCCCAATTTATATTTTTGTTCTACTCAAGCTTTCCAACACTTAATGTAACGTTTTTGTCACATTCCTCTGCACCTCT